CTTCTTCTGAAACACAAAGGAACCCTAACCCTAGGTACTGTGGGGCGGCGGCCAGGGCGCGCAGGCTCAGCAGGCGGCTGGGCGGGCGGAGGCAAGGGCGCGCGGCTGCCTGGGGTCGCGGCGGCCAGGGCGTGCGGCGGCCTGGGCTCGCGGTGACCAGGCTCACGCAATGGCGCGTCGACGCGCTCCCCTGCTACACCTACCACAAGTCACTCCCCTTCCGCATCGGCCTTTGGAACTGGTCCGTCTCCTCCCTTGCTCCCTCCCTCCCATTCCATGTCTCTCTGCTTCTCAGCAGATTCGTAAGAAAGTCTATGCTTGTTACTTGGTTCTCATGTCGGATAGGGTGCAAAAGTTTCAACGTTGGTAGTGATTTGTTACTACTTGTTCAAGTGCTCCTGATTTGTGTGTGAATCATGCGCTTCTGAATCCTAGATGGATGTTGTTTCTTTAGATTGAGGTTTCCGGAGGTAGCTTGCTGATTTACAAGTTAGGGATAGGTTTGGACCAAGCTGAATTTCATCTGTGCGAAATTTGGGAACGAATCATTGAGTTTTGGTCGAGATTGCTTCGATTTTTCGCTCGCGCTTCTTGCTGTTCGTAGCGTTCTATTCTTCGTGCTCGGTCTCTAGGTCGGCGCTCCCGTATGGTGTTGACCGTGGCAGTGCAGCTCCTGCCCACGTCTCTCGTAGCTGCATCGCTGCAGGCTGGCTCGGCGTCGCACAGCCCCGCACCACAGCCAGCGCCTTGCCCTGCTCGCGTCCAGCAGCAGGAGCGCTCCTTGATTTGTGCGAATCCAGTCCGAGCAATGCCTGCCCGTGAGGCCTAGGGTGGCCTGCTCGTCCGCTCTGCAGGGAACAGCTTGCCGTGGCCGGTCGTGGTCTTCATTGTTCTTGCAAGCGCAGCTTGCCAAGGTCATGCGTGGCCTTTCTCCTTGCTGTTCGTGGCCGTAGCCTCTCTCTCTCCCTCCGTGCGTTTTTGGTTCCGTAAGATTTGGACTCCAGCAGGAGCTGGTTCCGTGAGATTTGGATTCCAAGTTCCAGGCCCTGCAAAAGTCGATTGGCCACCTTACAGCTTGCCATATACATGATTTATTTAGCGATTAATTGCCGAGCCATATACATGATTTAGCGATTAATTGCCATGCTGGCTTGGTGCCTGGTGGCATGACAATTTAGTGAACTACAGGCTACAGCATGCTAGAGATACATACCCCTTTGGAAACATCTGTAGCACATAGCAAGACTCACTTCAACAGGTCAATTGGTTAAGTAAGGATATGGCTGAAAAAGCACATATAGATGAATTATTACCTAATAAAATGCAAAACAAGTTGATCAAGTACACAGTAGAACCTAACAAGCCCAGCTGCCACTCCCAAGCCAACTTTTCTCTAGAAAGCGAAATGCAGTGAGCAGGCAAAAATGACAAACAACATGCTCTTACTAATTTACTAAGATGTCAATTTTGTACACAATGAGAACATGTTTCTTATCAAATGCATGGAAATTCACATAAAAAATGGCTTATGAGCATATTTGATTTTGTCATAGTTTTTAGAGATTAATCAATAAGCTGTTAGTTCTATACGGTATATCTCTCCAAGTTTAACTAAAATGAATACCTCATTACATATATTTTTACAGGTCCAAAAAAAACTCAAATCAACCTGAACCATCTACGGAGCTTACAAGTGGTGCAGCACCAACATCTAAAACTGTGAAGGCCAAGGCTAAGACAAAAACAAAGCGGAAGAATATAGCTAAAGACATTGCCATAAAGCCACTTATACTTGATAGCCCTGCGATGGACACAAGAAGCAAAATATATAATCCTGTTAGCCCTGCAATGAGCACAAGAAGTAAAAGGAGGCTCAGTTTGTGACTTTCATGTGCCTGTAATGTCGCTTTTAATATGAACTTGATGTATGCGTCGAACTAGTGCACTGTGAAACTGATGTGTGAAAATGATGTATGTGTCGAACACTATGTTGAACTATGTGCTCTGTGCCCCTTTTGAATTTTTAGGATGATGAATGTGGCAGAACCGCCTAATCTAATATCTTCCAGGAGTGCTCGTCTTCCATTAGACACTAAACACCCAAGGGATAACACTAAATTACTCGATTCCGTCGGGCACACTCCAAGGGAGAACCCGAAACTCCACATTTTTGCCATCAGGATCACAAATGAGAGAATAAAGCTTACATCATTTAACTATTTCTTACATCACTTTATATGTACATCAGAGTATAACACTTATTATTAGAATAGCGGAAGGTAATCATATTATCAGAGTTATGAATAATTTAATTGAACAGCGGAATATAAACATGTGAATAGAGTTACAGCAGAAATAAACATCTATTAATGGCATGATGAAGTATTGATATGTAAACTATGACAACAGGTTATAAACTTTCATTTATAAAAACATCTAGTAAGAGTTATAAATAAAAACTACGATCGCAGCGTAAAGGAAATCCTCGCTGAGCCCACCAGGAGGTATCCACACACAAGGGTCAGCTCTAGCATCCACTTATCACCTGCAACAGGGGGAATAAAACCCTGAGTAATCAATTGTACTCAGCAAGACTTACCCGACAGGAGGAAAAGAAAAGACTCCAAGGATATGCAAGCCTATTTCGCTTGTGGGTTTATTGTATTTGCAGGAAGCATTACTAAACGTGCGTCCTTATATTCGATTTTTATTAATAGCCGCATTGGTTCATTAACTAACCATTCTATGTAAGCACCTATACTACTTTCAAGCAGGTGGTAAGCAATTAGATTTCCTTTCTCCATCTTCCATCTTTCATCTTCAGTTCTTACTACGATGCTGAGCCGAAGCCAAGCCGTACCGGATTTCCCTGCGATTCACGAATCAATGCCCCCAGCTGGGTACCCCAAAAACACACACCCCGCTTGTACCTCAGGCACAAGTAGGACCAACCCATCACTCTCCTGTCCTGGGTGTCCAGGTCCCCGTCTAAACTGGGACTCCAAGCCCTCGCCCCTGAGTTCCGGACTCGGTGCGGTGCAAGGACATCCTTCACCAAAAAGAAACCCTGACAGTCGGTCCGGAAAGAGCCGGATCCGCGACAAGAGGGCAATAAGTCTTTCAAGCGCCCATACACAAGTATGTGCTCGGGATAATAAGTATGTGACATGTCTAGAGTCTTATGCAACGAACGGTCCTTAACCGACCCGACAAGGAAAGCAGTGTAACCAAGCTATGCCCCGTGTCTACGGCGACACAACCTCTTACACCCACCAATACCCAAACCATATCCCTGTCCGGTCACCAATTTCCTTTCCACCATTTATATTTTCCAAGTGATAATAATCCAGTAATATATTTCCCATCTCTCGCGAGTGACAGGCAATCACTCGACTTCTACCAGAGTTCTATAGCATAGCATTCTATACGATCCTGTCATACTAGTAAGACTCATAGGATAAAGATATATATATGCAAGTGGGTTTCATTCAACTCCTTAAAACTTAATGCACAAATATAATTTAAACTGCAGAAAAGTAGAGGTTATGCACCGGAGCTTGCCTGGATAAGATATATATTAAAAGTTAGTATCTGCATCTTCAGATAATCCACCATCAACTGAATAGAAAGCCCATTGCATCATCTCCTAGAGAGAATATCATTACACCATCTTTGGATTCCCAATCTTCCTTCGATTGATCCGTTGATCCATCATCATACCTATATGATATGCATGCGATGCAATTCAAAAGATGTAATTAATCAACTGCAATCGTGACTCGTAAAATACGACGTACGCCTCTCGAGTTAACGGGTTAGTTCTAACGACGACCGCACTTAGGCTACATATACACGTTGTCGGATAAGACGTTATTTCCCAACAATAATTTTAGTTATATAAACCAAGGTGTTTCTTTATTTTATTCTATCGATTTAATCATTATTTGAAATAAGACATCATTATCTATTTAGCAAACTAATTATTCTGGAGCTACAAAAATTATAGTGAGTACCTAATATTGATAGAAGCCTACTATATAAATTTTAGATTCAACAATATTACCAATTTATCATGAAAACTCCTATAAGTTTATATTTTACAATATTAAGTATTTTAAATTAATAATATAGCTTCCACGAATATTATCAAACTATGTGAACAAAATACACTAACAGGTAGATCATGATTTTAGGAACTCAACAAAACTTGTTTCGCTATTTTTGGACAACCACCCAATTTTATATTGATTTTACAAATTTGTCTTATACGCGAATTTAGAAATTTCTTTAGAAAAATAATTAGGCTAGCGATCACCTACTCGGCCCAGCGGCCCAAGGCAGGCATCCGCGCACCCCGCGGCCCAGGCGCGGTGGCCGTCCCAGCAACGCGGTTCAGCCCACGGCGCGCGCTGGCGCGAGCGGCCCAGCGGAAGCGGCACACGGCCGACCCAGGCGCAGGCCACCGGCGGCGGTCCAACGCGGGGCGGTCGGCCCAGCAGATGCGGCACGGCCCACCGACCAGCCCAAAAGACAAGCCCAGGCAGACCAGGCGCGCGCTGGCGCGAGCGGTCCAGTCCCGGCTGGAAGCAGGCCAGTAGTGCGAGCAGGCCCGAGGCCCAGGCGGCGCGCGGCCACCGGCCCAGCTAGCCGGACTGGCAGCCCAGGCGGCGCCGAGGAGCCCGGACGGGCGGGTGACGCGCGCGGCCCAGTAAATCGGAAGTCCGATCCAGCGCGGTGGGCTACTGATCCACGAGCGGAACACAGGCCGGCACAGGAGGGAGGCTCCAGAGCAGAGCATCGGCAGGGAAAACAGAGCGCCGGCCAAATGAGCAGCTGGCCGGCAGCAGTGATTTCGCAGGACGGCGCGCGGGGCATCAGCAGCTCCGGCCGCACCCGAGGACGGGAGCAGCACGGCCGGGCGGGACCGGCGGAGCACCCGCCACGCACACGGACAGTCCAAAGACGACGGCGGCGGTGGTTGCCCGTGCAGGAACCGCGGCATGGCAGCGGCCTCGCTGCACCGGAGGTGGCGCACGGCGTCCCGCTCTGCGCGACGCGGCGAAGTCGTACTAGCACGGACGGGCAGCGCCACAGGAGCTGCGGGCCAGCACGAGGCCACGAGGGTGCGCACGCGCTCGCACGACACCGGGCCACAGACGACGACGGACAGCACGGCCACGGTGGCCACGCGGTGGTGCGGCTTGCCGGAGCAAGGGAGCGGACGCCAGGGTCCGCACGCGGGGAAGGGCCGGGACAGCGGCGACCACGGCCAGGGCTGCGCCGGCGGGAGAGCATGGCGGGGCTCCGGCCACGGCAGACCCAGCGAGGAAGGCGCGCAGAGGCGAGTGGAAACGACGGCAGGTGGAAACGGAAAGTGCTCGGGAGGCAGCCATGCGAGGCCGCAGCAGAGTGCTCGCGAGGAGGGGAAGGGCATGACTGAGAGCTTGGGAGTGGCTGCAGGACAGGAGGAGTGGCAGCCTGGTGGAGAAAAAGGAACGGCAGCCGCACCTCCTCCACTGACTCTGTCACTGCGACGAAGAGGACGGAAGCATGAAAGAGACTGACATGTTTGAAAGAAAGACGGAAGAAGACAGCAGCGGCTCTGTCACCTACTTTATAAACACGGTGCGTCAGGATGTCCTGTGTCTGTGTCAACCAACTGGGCAACTGCTGCTGCCACCGCCCGGGCCCTGGACGACCCTGGATCCTAGTGCATGTACACTGTGCACGAGTCAAAAACACAGAGCCACACGCGATCGTTTTCACTTTTCTCAGTGACAAACGCAAGGGGTCAAGAGGATGCGGCCTTTTATTTTATTTTTTATTATTATTTTATTATTATTTTATTTTATTCCACCAACTTTTCGTCAACTTTCCGGTTAGAACAAAAGTGTATTTACCGGGACTTCCGATCCGACCTCAAATCTAGCGGGACGCGAAGGCAGCCAGCCCAATAAATCTTTCGTTAACGCACACGTCGTACCGTCGAGGTAGGCGAGCTGAATGACTCGTGGTACCCTCGTTATTATTTCAACGCTCAAATATTTATTTAACAAGCCGACTATTATATTTTCAAACACGGCTAAAGCATTAAAGTTTGTTACTCGATATTTTAAAAGCAACCAAAATCATGCTCCGAATTTTACTTAAGCACTATATACCAGTCATAACGCATTTTATTTATAAAATTGTTTTTCATGTTTAATCAATTAAACACGTCGTTCACTATTTATTTGCTAGAATCGTTATCGGACATTTTTAAATATTTATACGCGCTGCGTAATTTATCTTGAGCGTTTATTTGAGTCTAAGAAACTAAATCCCACAGGATTCGTTTATCGCCTCAAGTACACTTTAAATAAAAAATCCAAGAAACTTGTTTCGAAAATTTTACTTAGGCCTAAATCGCGATGCTAAACAAGCTCGTAATACCTGGGGTATTACAACCAACCCCCTTAAAAAGAATATCGTCCCGAGATTCAAAGCTTGAACCAGAAAAGGGGAAACGCGATTACATTTCGTAGATCAGGAATTACACGAAAGATTACACGACTTTGAATACTAAACCACACGGGGATCTAGGGATACATGGTTAAGAGCAACTTGGTACAACCGAGACCTACTCCAGAAGTCGAGATAGACGAGGACAATGGAAAAACAACAAGAAGATGATTATCCAAAACATGGCGTAGCACCAATAGATCCAGAAATAGTCGACTGAGAAGTAAAACATCGTGAACCCTAAGATTGACTACCAAAAAGGGGACTTGAACTTCTTCGACGAACCGGATCATTTCTTCTCCTCAGATTACACCATCACCTCAGACTGATGAACCTAGCTTCACAATATCGACTGGATCTCGTAGCTCTTCTCTAGATGCGGGGAGGATGGAATGAAGAAGAAGAGCAAGGACCAAGGGTATTTTATAATGACGAACGGGGGTGGGGCGTAGCACACCGGAAGCAGACGCGGCGGGGATGGGATACACAGGCGGTGCATGCTGTGGAGATAAGATCGAAAACATGGTGCGCTTCGTGTGCGAGCGGCGGAGGGGGAAATAAAGGAGAGGAGAGGGGGGTCCGCTCGACAAGGCAGGCGTGCGGGCGGTCGTGTCACTAAAAGAAGAAGGAAAGGAGAGGGAAGGGGGGGTCCAGTACGAGGAACGACGGTGCGGGGTAGAGAGCCGACCGGACGCCAGGAAAAGGAAAAGCGCACAGTGCACATGGATGGCGAGTGCGGCACGATGCCGCGGCCATGTGAAAACGGGGTGCTAAGGACCCGATACAGACAACGTTTGCAAGGCACACAGCGAAACGACCCAGCACACGTAGCGCGGTCAACTAAACACAGGGCTTGTGACATGACGTCCACTCTGGCTTTTACAATTACTCCCGACTATCCACTGCTAACTTTCCTTACTACTCTTCTTTTTCTTTCCTTTACTCGACCACATCCGTCTTTCATGTAGACTGAGACCATGTCATACTTTCTTCCTCCAAAACCACCTCTTGTTTACCTTGAGAGAACACTTTTGCATCAACCCATTGTGGATTTCCCGTTTGAACACCTGAACATTTTCAAGGAAAATATTTTGTAGCAAAACGGTACGGCGGTGTAACTCGGTAAAGGTACTTGGTCAAAAACCTCGATACCAGCGTGTGCCGAGCAGCATCACATGTGGCAGCTATTCCACAGGGAGCCCTCGATTTCATCGTGGCACCATAAGCTTTTAACCAGGCAACTATTACCAACATACACGCCATGAAGGCGGTGGGGTCAAAGACCACAGAGTAAGGGGGTATCGCAACGGAAAAATTCAAACAACAAAGGTTTCCCTTCACAACAAGGGACAAGGAATTCAAATCCAACGACGGATTTGTTTTAAAAAGATTCAAGTGTTCTGCTGGGACATCCACAATTAGCCGATACAGTGTCCTATATTATCCAATCACGGCTGATCCGCTGGCATCCGAATGTCAACTTCTCTTGTAACATGCTAAATAACTCCCTTGACAGCTTTAAGCATGGCTAGCGAAACTAAAGTAGATGAACGCAATAAACACAGTGAAATAAACAAAATGCATATTCCGAATGGTCTTATACGGGTACAACGTACAGGCATTCAGGCTCCCATTCACGACACAGCATTCACCTACGGTCGAACGAGCAATAACTACGGACGACAACAACGGCAAGAGTACAATATCGGGGAACAGCAACGAAAAACACTACTACTACGGGTACAACATTCCAAGGCAACTAATCTACATCCTCTCGTGGCAATGGCTGAATGAGAGGAATCAATGGCTCGACTTCTGACACTTTCGAGGGTGGAGGTGCTGGCGGTGCTGCATCACCAGTTCTTCTTTTTGGCGGGTGGATAGGGATCCCTTCTAAGATCGGGGCATCCTGCCTTTCAGCAGCCAACGTCCTTCGCTCGGCCCTGGTGACAAGATAGGCCACCCGTAGCTGATGGACAAGCCGATCTTTAGCCTCCTTTAGGGCTTCCGACATGGCAGTCTCCCGGCTCTCAGCAGGTGCAACACTGGCATGCGCTTCGGCGAGCTGTACCTGGAGCATCCGGTTGAAGATCTCGGCTTCCCCGGTGCGCCGAAGGCACGTCCCCAATTCCAAGGCTTGACAGTCGTACTGCTCATCCAGAGAAAGCAGGTACGTGGTCAAGTGCACCACAGTTGAACTGTCCTCTTGCGCATCCTGCCCTTGCAAAGCCTCCATGCGAGCCCTCCATGCCCGCTGATTCTTGTCCAAAGGTGGAAAGAACCGCATGGGGGTACGGACAATGGGCTCTTCATAGATCTAGCAAAGGTACCGCAAGGCTTTGCGGACCACAACTTGGTAGGTGTCGACGAAGCGAAACCTGGTTGCGGTCACACTCCAGGCTTCAGTGAGGTCGGAGAACTCTTCACTCTTCTCGATGTAGACGGTAACCTCACACCGCTCGGTGCCATGCTCCTCATACTCATGGCCCTCATACTCGGGACGATCCTTGACTCCGAGCTTTTGCAGAGTGACATGCAGGATTCTGGGAAAACCCTCAACGTTCTGGCAGTAGGTACTAACCCAGGCTCCTATCATCTCTAGCGGTGGTTGCAAGGAAGGCTGAGCGAAAAGTTGGCTCAAAGGAAAAGCTAAGCGAGCTAAAGTGCACCGAGTGGTGGTACCAATGGCTAAGTCAGGCTCTGCTTATAAAGGCGGAGCGCTCAGTGGTCCTGCATAGTTCACCAGGGTTCCCACGCGAGATCATTACGAATGAATCGACCAAACTCCTCGTGTTCGAGGCGAGCGACGTGCGATGCCATTACTACCTAGTACGACTGCAGGGCAAGGGTTCGACAAGAGCGCAGAAAAGGGGTACGGGGAGACGTGGGTCACGACCGGCGTGAACCATGGCGAACGCGGAGCACGAAGCTATAGTGCAGACCTAACTCTAGAATAGGAACGAGTCCGTCGAGCACAATACGACACGCGTGATACCTATGGATGGCGTATCTGCAAGCAATACAACACTTCAATGCACAAATAGGATATGCATGAATGCACGTCCTTTCACTATTGCCAACATATAGGGCAACCGTTCTCAGCTTTTTGGCACATCGTTCTCTCCCTGTAACTAGTCGATACTATCGGACTATGCTCGAGTCAGTGTACCTGCAGAAAACTTGATTAAGCCTATCTAAGTCAGCAGAGTGCCATCTCTCCTGAATACATAACCATAGTAATAGGGCTACTTATATAACTTCGCATACAAACGTCCTAACTTTTTGTAAAAATAGGTTGTCCAATTTTAGTTTAGAAAAGGTTTTCGAAGCCTTATTTTCTCATTTGCGCTCTAATACCACATGTGACAGAACCGCCTAATCTAATGCCTCTCAAGAGTGCTCGTCTTCCATTAGACACTAAGCACCCAAGGGATAACACTAAATTACTCGTTTCCGTCGGGCACACCCCTAGGGAGAACTCGAAACTCCACATTTTTGCCATCAGGATCACAAATGAGAGAATAAAGCTTACATCATTTAACTATTTCTTACATCACTTTACATGTACATCAGAGTATAATACTTATTATTATAATAGCGGAAGGTAATCATATTATCAGAGTTATGAATAATTTAATTGAACAGCGAAATATAAATATGTGAACAGAGTTACAGCGGAAATAAACATCTATTAATGACATGATGAGGTATTGATATGTAAACTATGACAACAGGTTATAAACTTTCATTTATAAAAACATTTGATAAGAGTTATAAATAAAAACTATGATCGCAACATAAAGGAAATCCTCGGTGAGCCCACCAGGAGGTATCCACACACAAGGGTCAGCTCTAGCATCCACCTGTCACCTGCCACAGGGGGAATAAAACCCTGAGTAATCAATTGTACTCAGCAAGACTTACCCGACAGGAGGAAAAGAAAAGACTCCAAGGATATGCAAGGCTATTTGACTTGTGGTTTTATTGCATTTGCAGGAAGCATTACTAAACGTGCGTCCTTATATTCAATTTTTATTAATAGCCGCATTGGTTCATTAACTAA